TTTGTGCTATGTATGCAAAAAAACAAGTTCCTCTCCAAGGACAAGTAGTACCTCTATCTCTGTCTATCTTTGTATTACGGTGTTCAAAATATCTCTGTTAACTTGTGGGGCACAGCACTCTCCCTTTATACAAATGTATAGATAACTCCAGAAGGGAAATTAAGTGCTCACTTGCCCTGCTTCATTGGGATGTACAAGGTCAGTCAGCTAGAGGGGATTACGTGTTTTTATGCTTGCAGATCCTGGTGCTGCAGATTGTAGCCACCAGCCCTCATTTCAGTAAAAAATAATGAGCAGTCAATGCATATTTACATTAGTGTTCACCGCAATTTTTTTAAAACTTACAACACTCCAGGACATCAAGGGCGTTTATGATGGTTCTACTCATAGAAATAGATGTTTCTATTACAAGCTATAGTGGCATTGACTGGCTGGTTTAAAGTCTTATTATAACTGTAATTGGATGGAGGCCACAAGGCAGCTGCCGATGAGACTAAGGAAGATATGTGGATGAATTTACTCTCTCTCTTTGTGTCTCTTTCACACACACATTGTACACACACTGACCCCACACACAGAAAAAGCATTATATTGTTTTACACACAGTTTTCAGTATTTTTGAATGAACAAAAAGTCTCACAGGAGAGGAAGAATCTCCCGCAGTTGTCTCTGCTGTGTTCGCTTGGCAAACACTTGTTAAATGTGAAAATACACACATATATACACACATACACGCACACACACTCTCGCACTCAGTGATTTGAATGACTGCTGCGATCAGCGAGAGACAGATTTAACTGACTGTTAATACACGGTAAAGTCGGGGGGGAAAATGAATAGTGTGAAAATTAATTATGGAAATTGTGGTTCATACATTTTTCAACGAGCTTAACAGGTACAATCTTTGCAGAATAAATGTGATAAAGTTAAATCCGTTACCATAGAGAAAACCAAATGAAGAATTTGTTATGGTTAAAATAAATGAATGGGTTTTCAAGAGATATAGGAAATAAGGAGCGAAATGAAGATGCAGATGGGGGGACAGTTAGCAGGGTGAGAAAAAGGCCGAGTTCCAGGAGGCTTAGGCATGTCTCTTCATCAGAAAATATTACCCAGCATGCTTCACAGCGGCTGTCCGTGTCCCGCTGATCGCCACCCATCACCGACTCTGCTGAGAGGGAACATTTAACTGTGAAATTACAGTTTGAGGTTGAAGAAAGGGGAGGAGAGGTTGTGTCAAGGCATACAAAAAAAAGTGTACAACAGTGATAGCCGGGAGCTTATTGTAGTCAATTGTATGTTTTCTGTAAATGTAATTCCATGTCTGTGCTCCCACGCACCCAGGCTGAAATGCAGTTATATTTAGCAAACCTCCGGGAGATATTTAGAAATAAAGAACCAATATGCGTGCTTACCATATGTTAAAATGCTTTAGAGCAGCAGCATGGAGCCTACAGTAATGAAGTATTGCATATAGAGATATTGATTAATTTTTTGAAAAGCCATAGTCAAACAGTGAGCGAGAGAAAAAGAGATCAAAGATAAACAAACCTAGAGACTGGCGGCCTTGTGTGGGCGCTAGGAGAACTAGAACCTTGATGTTTTTGTTTTTTGTTTTATATGATCTCTGAGACTCGGAGGAGTTCCTCACCACAGACCCCTTTTCCCCCGAAACCACTCAAACACTGGGTCATCGCACCGTTAGTGATGAAGCATAATACATGGCTTCCGGGCTTAAGCACCATTGTTGCCATAGAGAGACAGAGCCAGAGTAGAGCCAGAGTAGCTGAAAATCCCCTGAAAGAAGAGACTGTAAATACAATCTCATCATCTCTGCAAATGAACATGCTCTTGTTTGTGTAGATGGATGAGTGGGAACATCGGGACGGTTGATTCAGGTAAATGTAGTAAAGTGGATCCAATCCTTGTGTCAGTACCATACAGCCTGTGGGTATTACTTACTTTATCAAGGAGTGATCATCGTCCAAGTTCTTTTGTCACTATACAAGAAATCTTTGATCATTTCAAAAGCAGAAGGCTAGCAGCTATAGGCTAATGCTAATGTTATTCGTTTTGCCGTACTGGACCAATTGTACTTTTTACCTGATGATGTACTGTACTAAATGAAAGGTTAATGGATCATTAAACGTACAAAATCCAGAGCTGAATCTGTTTGTCCATACAGACAACGTGAGACATTTTCAATTTGTGAAAAATGAAAGTCATGCCTGAAATGTCTCGGGGCTGTTACATTCAACTGACACTACTGTGTGTGGAGAAATGTATTTCTTTGTCTGATGGATTTGTACTGCATGATTTGACAGTGTCATTATTGCTGACTGTTGGTGCCCTCGCTCGTTGATTCTAATTGACTTCGACTAAAACGAGACATTTAGCTTAGCTTTTCTTTCCTAGTGCTGAACTCGACAACTGCTGTAGATGTATAACAATAGGTACCTTTTAGTACAAAATAACACCAACAACTACAAAAATATGCCCAAAAATATAATCTGCTTTATTTGGGTGCGATGTTACTGATAATAGGCCTGCATGTATTCCTCTTTTCTTTGTCTTTATTATAATTACCATATTGAACTTTTGCAGTTTTGCATTGGATTTGGGGTTAGACAAATGTAGTGTTGTTTTTCAAGATGGGCTTGAATACATATGAAACACAAACACACAAATCGAGCATGCCCCTAACCAGATTAGTTCTTAATCTACATACAAACATAATTTGCACTCTATCAACACTTTTGTTGCAGAGCGCAGCAGAACAAATGTCCCGCTGTATTTTTGCCCGAGTTTAAGAATATCAGCTCCGAATCTTATTGGATTACCATAGCAAAGCAAATGGAGCAAAACAGATAAACAAAGTTACAATTCAGAGATGTGCAGGCGTAGAAAGGAAGCACAAACACGGAGTTAGTGAGACGTGAGCAGTCAGATCATGTCTGGAGAAAGTATCTGCTGACCTGAGTTCAGAATGCTGGAAGCAGGTGAAGCCAGGATGTAACCCTGGAGATTTTTTTTCTGATGTCGATGTTTTCGTGGGTCGGACGGAGCCTTGTTAAATCCTTTGTACAGAAAGTACAAAAAGTAACACAATAACAGGCACACTGCCAAAGACTGGAGCACATTTTGACATACAAATATATTAGCGATAACCGTTTGTATTAATAAATGACAAACATAAACACGCCAAGCATTAGGTGCATAATAAACAACAGGTTTTCATGCCCAGTTTATAAATCCTGCTCCTACCTCACATTTTCTGAAGACTGGTCATATCCATTCAGGATGTAACACATATTCCCCACCAGTATGAAATGTCAGTGATGGTGAAAAGTCATGCGTGTACAGAGTAACAATGACATCCTCATCCATTTCCTTTCCATCTATTCTCCCACTTGGTTTCAACACCTTTCAGAAAGTGCGTTTGGGTTTTTATTGAATTGAGGCTTTTCTTTATTTATTTTTCGTTCTGTTACCTCTCTGTCGTCAATGCAAACGTCAAGCCCTGCCAAACTGAAATGGTCCACAATTAGTACAACAACATCAGATTGATGACGTAAAATGGATTTCTTGCTATGGTAGTGTGAAGACATGTTTGATTTTTAACGCTGCATCCAGATCGGAACAACAAAAAGAGACCCTTCTACAGTCATCTATTTGGCTGTGTTCACTGAAAAATATAATCGCTTTGAGAGAAAATACATTCTTTAAACAATTTCAACTGTATTGTAAAGCAGTTTCTAAATGATGTTGCTCTGTGCATTATTCTTTAGTCAGTCGAAGGATAGTTATTTTTCCATATCATTTTCACACAGCAATGCTATAAACATTTAGTTTCTAATGAAAAACAGTACATCTTGATTCGACGTGGGAATAATTGGATCAGATTTTATGGCTCTGTGTCTTTTTTTTGCTGCTTCACACTCTCCCTCCATGTTATCCTCTCCTACTCCTTCACCTCGCCAAAATAAGTCATTCATCGCTCTGCCATCCGAGCAGTGTGTTCATTATCACCTGCCTCCTCTCCCTGTGTCACCTGGCTAAAGACGGATGTCGGGGTCATCAAGAGGAGACAGAGAAAGTCAGTCGAGCTACCGCAGTATCGCAGCTCTTCAATCTTTATGTTGTTCAGTTCAGCAGCATCGTGTCCCTGAACTTTTTCCATTCCTCCAACTTCTTTACCGCATAATCAAACCACATCTGTCTCTCTCTGTTGACTCCCCCAGAAAAAGAAAAGTTTTACGCCAGACCTCTTGAACATTGCATCAGGGTTTTGTTGCGCTTTCATTTCAGTTTTGTCTCAGTCAAGTTTTGTCTCACACATGGGGATGGAGACTTGGCATGCACACAAACACACACATGCTCACAATAATAATTTCTGCTGCTGTCTGCTGCAGGTGCAGTGGAGACTCTTGGGAGAGGACATTGTATTTCCATATCAAAAAAAGCCGGGAACGCGTGCGAGATCTGTTTGTTTGTGTGAGCCCAGGTGCAGTCTAAATCAGTACCTCTGAATATAAAGTCTATTTTTTTAAGGAATTTATTTTTGATGTTACAGGTCATCATTCAAAGACTAAAGAGGAGGAGATGGAGAACAAAAAGTGTGTGTGTGAAAAAGAGAGATTGAGAGAACTAAAGACATCAGGAGAGTGAGTAAGATTAAAAAAAGACCAAGTAAAAATAGTTTAAATATTCATGTTTTTCATCAGTTGATTTATTCATAAGTGGCTGATATATTCAGTTATTTATAAACTGCTTCTGTGTCACTGCTGTTGACAGGTGAGTTGCTCTGTGTTCCTGTAGGAAGTACACAATGTTAAATGTAACCCAACTTTCCCTCAAATAATGACACAGTAAAGGTTAGCTGTGACTGAATAACTGTTATGAGACAAAAGCTAATGTCTTAATGTGTGTGTCACAGCTTCCTCAGCGGCTGCTGGGCTACACGCTCTCTATTCTCATCCATGTTTCTCTCCTGACTCCAGATTTTGACCCCAGTCTCGGGCTGATGACTGGCATTACCCCGATAAATCCCATGATGCCCGGCCTGGGCCTGGCTCACCCGCCCCTATCCCAGGATGCACCAGTTGTCAAGGAGATCATCCACTGCAATAGCTGCACGCTGTTTCCTCCCAACCACAGTAAGTCTCCTCTGCTGCTGTAACAAATATAAGCATCGCAGAAACGCTGCGAGCTAACCCGTCATCAGCGAGCCTGAAGCATATTTTATTTATCCATGCAGCAGTGTGCATTATCTATGACTTATCTCTGTCCTCACACTCGCACTCTGAAAAGACCCCTATGCACCACTCAGCCTGATATTGTGTGACCACGAAGAGGTGTGTATTATTTCTTAATGTCACCTTTAATACCCCTACGTACGGCAGAGCGGAGCTGATTTGCATCTCATTTCATCAGAAAGGAGGAGGGGGGGGTGATTAAAAGAGGTATTAAGGTGTGTATGCATGCAGGCGTTCCCTTGTGTGATGTCTGTGAATGTATAATTAGAGGAGTGACCTCTGTGAACACAGAACACAGCGCTCCTGTCTTCAATGTGCCAGGCCAGAGAGGTAATGTCCTCCTCTTAGCTCAACTCACCCTTATCGCTGTATCTCTTCCTAATCTCACTTCAGCTGCTCGCTATACTGTACCACACACATATATAGCCCCCCCCCTCACTTTTATTTACCTTCCCTCTCTATGATATACTGCATCTCCTTTCCTTCCACTCCTTGTTTAAGAGGTCAAATCAACTTAATTAACTGATCACCTCCGAGGGTTCCAGCTACTACTTCCAGTTCAAAAGTTCTCTGTCAGGCTCTGACTGTTACATAATATGTATTTGTACTAACCAAGCGGGAACCAAGGTGCTGATAGTAAAGCCGATGCAGTGCTTTGGACCATTCTTTCTAATGGCGTGCAGGGGGCGTCGCAAAAAATAAGTTTAATTGTATTAAAGTCTATGAGAAATTACCTCACTGGATGATAAAGCAGGGTAAGCTTTAGGAGGTGGATACCTTGTGATGAGAGGTCACTACCACAGCTTTTCTCGGTTTTGTTTTTTCTGTGTTTTCCTTCTAGAAATTAAACCACTTTCCATTTAAAGAAAGTTTGTTTTTAACATTTTGGTAACCTTAAAATAGTATGGTTGTTCTTAGCTTCACCCAAAATGCCAGAAACGTCCACAAACCAATGGGTGATGTCTGCAGTGCCAACGTCAACTTTTTTTAAACATTTATGGTCCAAATACACCCTCTCTTTTGCACACACATGCCTGGACAAACAAACCTGTGTGGACATTTTTACTATGAAGTATTTGTGAATCAGGATCTGAAATAAATGGGGCCCTCTGTAACCTAATACTTGAACTGTCACACAATGGGGTTTGAAAATGATTATGAAAGGGGAAAAGGACCCTGCTCTCATAATTTAATTGTTAAATTGTCGTTATTATTTAAAGCTACAGTACTGTCCACCTGTGGGCGGTTGTAGGTGATTCATGGTAATTGGTCTAATCTTTCCTCTCGGTTCTGAAGGAATAACAGGAGAAATGTTCTTATAATTGCAAGAAAGCTCTTTTCCTGAACCAGGAGAGCAGCATGTGTTGTTATACGAAATGACAGGTCAGGAAAAGTTAAACTGGCAGAATCATATAAAACTGAGCAATAGAGGAGTGGAAAGTGGACTGAACACCATGCCTGGTTCTGGGATGACTCCATCAGGGGCCGTAGCCTCTGTTACACGAGTCCACCCCCTAATAGCCTTCAATAAACCCACTGGAATTCATACCAATATGCAGCGCAAATGTATCATTACAAATTTCAATACATTTTTCAAGAAAGCAACTAAATAGGATAAGGTGATATGTCCATGTATGCAGTGTAATGCTTTCTCTATAGCATTTATCCTCTGGATATTTCCCCTTTAATACCTCTATATGGGGCCATTCTGGGTAATGTTGCAAAGGCCTTATCGGGACTGCCTAATGAGAAAATGGGGTTTATTGTACTTCGCATCAATGGGAGTGAACTCCCTTGATTCGTCCGGTGTCTAACTTACACCCCCATCTGATTTCTATCATTTATATGTGAACTTAAAGCTTTTGTAATCAAATACATTTTCTGTCTAAACTTGGATAAAACCATTACATATTGTTCAAGCCATTGTGCAAAAACATGTTTGTGTACATGACAGTACAAAGACCATGTATGTAGAGAAAGGCAGTGGGAGCAAACAGGACTGTAATACTGGAGGGCACTAGTTGTATGGGTGTTAAGTTTTAATATTAACAATCTTTAACCATAATATTCTTCATCTTGAAATATTATATTATCATACAGATAAAGATCAATGATTGTTTATAAAAAAGAACATTTCATTTTGTTTAAATCACATCCTGACTTATTACGTATTGTAATAATATTTAGTTCTTAATTTCAGTGCTATTTTCACATTTGTTTTTGTGTCAATACACCAGAATACAACTAAACTCAATTCCTTCACAATTAATGTCTCTTTATTATATCAAAATATATTAACATTGTGGAACAAACAGCAAAAAGAGACTACTAAAAAATAAAACGTTTACTTCTCACTCGCATCCTGTTAATAATTCAACATGATCCATTGTGTTCACTCCCTGTGGGAGGAACTGTCGACCTTCCTTTGGAGAAAACTTTGTGTCTGGGGGCTTTTGCAAGGCTGCCTCACATATCACATGGGAAGACATCCTTTTCAACCTACACTGTTAGTGAGAGCTCTCCTTTACAACCAGCATGGGAGTCTGCCTTTGATACCAAGTGTCTTTGAGTTCAGTTTTCACCCCTAGTATAAAGCATCACTGTCACAGTTCACTGCAGACAGGAAAAGGTATCCAAACAATAAATTAACAATAGAGTATTTACCACCCACCTTTTGACCAATTCACACATGGGTGAAAAATAGCATTCTGCTCCTGAGGCTGAAATCAGGTTGTCAGACTTGTATCTTCTCCACGATACATCATAATATCAGCCGTCATAAACACCTTCCCAGTGTGAGCACCTTTGCAGGGTTGTTTGTCTTCCCTTTTTGTCTTCATGCAGGATCAGAATCAAAGTTAGCCTTGGCCTCAGAGCCCTGTTACTAAAATGTAGTTATTTTTCAATTCAAGCCTTTACTTGAACCCTCTGAGTCTTTGTATTGTGTATGTGACAAAAGATTTAAATATAAACAGCAAAGAAGCTAAAGAAATATATTTGTTTAAAGAGTCACACACAGGGATTCATATTGCATGCAGCTCAGTCGGTACAGATGGCACATACACCGTGGTGGTTAAGGACATCTTCTCCTACGGGTCTTTCACACACAAAACTTAAGCACTCTACTTCTTGTAGAGCACTTTGGATAAAAGCATCCACCCAATGGTGTGTTCAGATATAATGTGGGCCGCGCATTAAACTGCCTGAAAGAAAATCTCTCAATTTAACTCTTCCCTCCACCTTTTCTACAATCTTAACACATCTTTGAAACTTTTTCCTCCCAGTTTCATTTTCACTTACCTTTTCTCTCATACAATCTGTCTCCCTCTATTCATTTCCTTCCCTTTTTGTCACCTGGCAAGAAGCACGCCATAGACGAGAGTGTTTTTAAAAAGTAAGTGTTGAGAGGAAGCCAATTTACTCCTAACAGCACTTTATTTCCCCTTTTTAAAAGGTGCCACCGCCTTTTACAATAGAAGGTGTCAAAACGGTCTGTTGAAACCAATAAGAAAACATTACTTCGTACAGCAGCAAGTTTTAAAGTGCCATCTAAATAACAGCATCTCAGAGTGGGATTTAACGCGGCAATGTATTCTAACAGATGGGAAGACGTTCATCCAGAACCAAGCGGAGCCATTGAGGAGATTTCTTGTCTCACTGGTAGGTTTCTACTGTAATTGAAGCCTGTGGGGTTCTTCTGAGGGGGTCACAGCGTGATAAAGCTCCACCACAGGGCACAACGCAGGGGGTCACAATAGATGGTTGACATGCGTCTTTCTCTACATTTATTTAGAAAGTACCATAGGGTGTTTGCATATGATGTGTGTGTGGGGGGTACAACAACTTGGGTAAAAAATGGAAAACGTGGACAGAAATGCTTCTTTCAACTAGAGGATGATTGTGAGTCAGTGCTCTATTTCCTGAGGTATCTGTTATGTGTTCAGCAGGCGATAGCACCGAGTGTGTTTGTGTGTGATGGGCATAGAGGGCAGCAGGTTGCATATGGCCGCTATTACAGGAAGCAGGACCCCCAGCTACTCCACCTGCGACACTGCACACAGCTCCCTCCTCATTGACCTTTAACTGAACATGCCTGAAGCTCAGCCTTTCTCCATCTATCATGCTTAAACATATCTGCATTTAACCACACTTTTTCACTTGCATATCATGACTGGTTTTGTTTTTGAAGCTCTCAATACCTTTTTTATTTTACTTCTATTTTTAAAAGGCCAATGCAGTTAATTAAACTGCAGATCCTACTATGAATATTTCTAAAAACGATTATTTTCATAAGCAATTCAACTGTAAAAACTATTTCCTCATTCACAATTTAAAAGCACATATATTGTTACGATCTAAAAATACCTGTAATTTCATTTACTGTAAGAGATAACTATTAATTCCTTATTATTTTTGTCATTTTTCTGCCATTGTTTGATTAGTTTATTACTCAATAATTATGATTGGTTTGCATTAAGGCACAAAAGTTAATATCTTAACGGTAACAACTGTTTGTAAATCATAATAATAATAATAATAATAATAATAGTGTCAACTATAACCACAGTTTTGTTTCCAGACAGGGTTTTTTGACTTTATCTTCTTCTCCTAACACAGAAAACCTTCAACTTTGATATATCTTTCCTCATGACTCCAACACACACACACACACACACACACACACAACACACACACACACACACACACACACACACACACACACACACACACACACACACACACACACACACACACACACACACACACACACACACACACACACACACACACACACACACACACACACACACACACACACACACACACACACACACACACACACACACACACACACACACACACACACACACACACACACACACACAAACCCATTTTTGTCC